CTTCTGAGGAGTGGCTGGTGGGTTTGAACCTCCAGCCTTCTGGTTAGCAGTCAAGTGCCTTAGGCACTATGCTACCAGAGCTCCTACTCTTTAAAGTAAGAACAGCCAAATTTCATCCCTTATACTGAGCCTCTCTGGTAAATAATTATCTGAAATGAGTCACACAATTTACAAAAAAGGGTATCTTTATGAGAAGAGATTAATAAATAATAAAAAAAAAAAAATGGCTGCATGGGTGAGGTCTGGGAGAAGCCCAATGCAGAGCCTCCATATGCCGAAAACATGCCCCACTCTCCATTGACAGGTATTTCTCACTCATCAGGAAGTACCTTGAGCCTTTGATAACTGTATTTTAATTGGCTAGTACAATGGGAAAGGTCCATTATGCCTCTAGAGGATAGTAGGAGATCACAAGGTGGTCCTCCTGATCTTCCCTGCCCTCACTCAGCAGCAGGCTAACTATCAAAAACCTCAAAGAAAAGCCAAATTCCTTTTTGTAAAGTGGTTCATTGTGTTACACTTAGCAATCCTGGAATGACTTTATGTATATTTTTATGTATGTTTATTCTAAGATTCAGCAAATAATTCATTGTGAATAATAAGTTAGGAGTATTAGTACTAAGGAAAGGAGTAACATGTGAAGTAGAGAAGTGGAGAGCATACCAACTGGGAAGCTCAGGAGGTAAGAGACATTTGTGGTAACAAACAGGTACTCCTTTTAGATATGTAGCAATACATTACTATTACTTTAAAATGTTAAAGAAGCTTTAGTATAGATGAAAGTGTTTCTTGAATGTTTATTAAGCACAGGAAGGTACCTGATATTCTTCATACCAGGACAAGAATTTTACTGATGTTATATAAAAGGAAATGAGGCGAGAGGTATTTGTTGCAGGATTCCAACGAATAAACATAGAAGAAATGATTGCAACAGACAATCCTGTTAGGTAACAACAACAATAATGATACACACAGGCAATAATTGATAATGGATACTAAAATCAGTAGGCCAAAAGATGATGACATAGAACTCTGGGTCCAGGTGTCCATGTAAATCTCTTGGGGCTGTTTCAAGGCCTGGCTTACAGCCCTGCATGCCTGCAAAAACAGTGATCAGGACGAGGCAGCCGGATCGGAACATTTGCCATCTGTAGGTATGCACAGTGTTTACCTTACAACACATTTGCCAGGCTTATACAATACCAAAGGAGCTCTGGTAGCATAGTGCCTAAGGCACTTGACTGCTAACCAGAAGGCTGGCGGTTCAAACCCACCAGCTACTCCTCGGAAGGAAGGTTGGGCAATCTACTTCTGTAGTGATACTGCCTCGGAAACCCAAGGAGGGGTTGCTATGAGTCTGGGCTGACTCGATGGCATACAGCAACAGCAACATACAATACCAAATAAAACAAGCCACTTAGTTACTTTAATGTACACAGCAATTCTTTGCAGAAAAATTATGTCTTAGATAAACTTATTAATAACTGACAAAGAACTGATGCATTTGAATTATGGTATTTTGGAAAAATATTGAATATACCATGGACCGCCAGAAAAACAAACAAATCTATCCTGGAAGTACAGCCAGAATGCTCATTAGAAACGAGGATGGAGAGACTGTCTCTCATGCTTGATTGACGTCATCAGGAGGGACAGCCCTTGGAGATGAACATGATGCTTGCAAAACAGAGAGTCAGTGAAAAGAGAAGACCCTCAATGAGATGGGTTGACACAGTGGCTGCAACGATGGGCTCAAGTGTAGCAAGAATTGTGAGGCTGGCTGGTGGAGGACCAGGCAGGGTTTTGTTGTGTTGTAGATGGGATCTCCATGAGTTGGAACCAACTCAATGACACCTAACTACAACATTATCATTAACTTTCCAGATTCTTAAATGGAAGAAGTTTGTTTAGACCTTTTGACTAAAAATGAGAATTAAACAACAACAACAAATTCTTAAAAACAACAATGTAAATAGGAACTCATTCTTTTTCACTTTTAAAGTGATCACTGAAATCCCAAATGACTTTTAAACAGGAAGACCAAGCCAGCATCCTGGTCAGAGAGACTTTAATCTTACTTTTCAAGGATGTTGAGTTCCTAGCTTTCATTCTTTATAAACTTGATTCATTCTGCCTGTCTCTTATTTTAGATCTTAAGTATATTAGCTTTTTCAATTGCAAAGGAGTTGGAAATAGCTACCGAGTTTTCCAACTGTCTTTAGTTAGATCATGCCTTTGACTCCAAAATAAACAAATAGCAGGATTATAATGCTTGCTAGTAATTTGTGCCACAAGTCCTGACTGGGCACTGTCCAGTTTTTGGACTTCTTGTTACCCATTTCTCTGTTGGATCAAACAAGCTCATAAACCATATCAGAGCATTGCTTTTGGTTTTTGTCTCAGGACTAAAATCCAAAAGGACTGGAGATTCTGCAGTCCACAGAATCTCACCTTTTAAACCCAAGCTTGCAAGCAGGAAATCTCAATTCTATTTTCTGAGCAGAAAACTTTAAAGACCACTTCTTCTAACAGAGTTCCGGTAGAGGGAGCTCAAAGCTCACAAATAGCTAAATGGAATTTTACCTTTGATGTTTTCAGGATCACAGCGGTTTTTATGGGGGCCACTGTGGGGTTTTAAAGGTATTTAGATTTTTCGGTTGCCGAAGCTTTGTAGCTTGCAAAACACGGCATAACATGGAAGAACTTGGAGGACATTATGCTGAGTGAAGTAAGTCAATCACAGAAGGACAAATATTGTATTCATTCATTACTGTAGAAAGTCAAGGAAAACTTGATATATGGAAGGAAACTTTCTTTGTTGGTTACCAGGTATGGGAGGGAAGGGGAGGGAACACTGCAAAAATAAATAAAGAAAAGGTAATTTCAAAAAAAAAAAAAAAAAGTGTGGCTTATGGTGGCCCTTTGAACACAGAGTTATCATCTGTGACTAACCCTGAGTCCCAAATAGGATTAGCTCTGATAGAAACCAAAACAGGGAGAAGAAGGAAAACAAATTCAGACCGAGTAAACATGAAAGGAAGTAAATACTGATGAAAATAAACTAGTCCTAAAACTCAGTTTCATCCCAGATGCATGGTGGAGTTTCAAAGACCTGAGAGTTACTCACCTGGGCAGCTC